TTTGAAGTGATTAGATGTTACTGTATTTAGTGTGTGTTGAGTCCTCATTCTGGGGGTTTTAGTTACAGGTTATACGATTAAGTTTGCAAGAACAGGGGAGAAGTGAATTTCTCAGTGAGGGGCATTCACACTACAAACTGTGGCAGGTCTGTGCAGCCCAGCCCTATCACTCATTAGGAAATCTACACATTGTCAGCCGATTCTCAGGGCACACACACAAAGACACACAGACACAGACACACACACACACACACACACATACAAACTTCAGCACTAAAACTAAATTAAGAACCTGATGATTAAGACAAGCTTGTCATTTCACCAGCCTCCCATCATAACATTATGGCACAGAAAAATTCACTGAAAAGCAGCGGAGAGGCAGAGAAAGAGGGAAACAAACACATAGTGACGCACAAACATAATATTCAACAGGCACACAAATATAATATAATCCACACACACAAACAATATATATATATATATATATATATATATACATACATATATACATATATATATATATAAATATACATAGACATTATGTATACACACACACACACACACACAAACATACCTATAATACATAAAAACTATAGAGCATATTTAAATCACCCCACCTTACCAATTTATGATCAGTGTTTATGTCCTATCTCACACACAAACACACACACACACACACACACACACATTTTATGTATTATCATATACTGTACACTGTAGCCAACTATTAATACAGTTATATTTGGACTGCAGGGAAGTAGGATTGAAGAAGATTAGGGACAGAGATTGAAACTGGATTCAGGATAAATGAGTTCCCATGAATTATGTAAAAATTACAGGAAAATTACACATTTTGGCCATAAAAACTTCCATCTCAGCTAATTTTGGTCTAACATTCTCGTCTCAATTATCCACAATTTGTGTGTGTGTGTGTGTGTGTATGTTGTGTATGAGCGTGTGAAAAAATATATACCAATGCTTATTCTATGATTCTAGGATACTCACCTAGTTCTGAGAATATTTTTTAAAGTCAGTATTTTTTTTTTAATTATTATTATTCATTCTCTTATTAGAATGTGTGTGTAGCTCTCCAAGAGTTAATGTTTCTCAGGAAAGTCTAACAGGATTGGAAGCAGTCTGGCTTGCTGTATAAAGCGTGCATTTGTGGGGGCCTGCTGGTTAATGTGCACTTACTCCTGATGATCACACAAATCCATAGGTTGAGGGGAGTAAGGGCGGTGCGAGGCTACTGATGTAATGACTCTTTGGCCAAGGAATCCCTCACATTCAGGGACAAGTTGTTTTCTCTCCATTTTTATTTTTTAATAACAGAATTCTCCAAACGAGACTTAGTTAAGTAATAAACAAGTCATGCAACAGAATCTGGCACTGAATATGAGACAAATTGAGCTAGCTCCATAATACCTACCTATCTGCCTACTTACTACCTACCTTCATATCTATCTATCTATCTATCTATCTATCTATCTATCTATCTATCTATCTATCTATCGATCTATCTGTGTTAGAAGAGGACAAAGAATTCTCTAACAATGACAATATCTATCGATGTGGGAAGGAGGCCCTACATTCAAAACCACTAAAACCACTGAGGAGGTTTAAGATGCCTTTTTTTTTAATCCTTTCCTTGCCTGGGAATTCAGTATCGCTGCAATATAAAACGGTGCAAGCATTTATTTTTTATTTTTTTTATAAAAAAAAAAAAAAAAAGGAGCTGCAGAGAGATTATAAATCTGATTTCATAGACAGGGTTGCATATTTATATTATCTAAAATATATATACTTAAAAAATAAAAATAAAAATAAATAAATAAAAAACATTTCGAAATCTTAGGAGGGTCACATCAAGTGCTTGTGCCTTTGAGATTGAGGCGTTATTCTGCCCCTGTTGGTATTCGTGTTTCTCATATATTAGAATAAAAAGTAGCTACAAAAGACATTAATTCGCAAATATATAAAGTATGTATCTCCACTGCAAGTTGGTGCATCTTAATTAATTTATTTTTTTGCATGGATTAATGACAGATATTGAATAAAATGTGAGACAAGTGCAGCTTCCCTACATTAGTATTTATAAAGCTTAACTCTTTGACTACTGGTTCCATTAAAATGAGCCTAGGTTTTAAGATTGAGAGTCCTTCAATGCTGCCCACACCACCTCTGCTAACACAAACACACCAGAACAAAAATAAATAGAAATATACATTGAAACAAATAATCTGTATCCTTTGAAGCAGTTTAGCTGTAAAGACTGACCCTTCATTTCATTGGATGTCCCCTCTAGTATGCTGGCTGTGTAGGGGACCTGTGTCTGTCATTTTATGATTATGTATGGTAAAAAAAAAAAAAGAGACAGAATAGAGGTTGATTTGCAGGGACTAAGATTACACAGGAGGGCTGTTTCAATCGCTTCTTGCACACTGGTAACCCCAGAATGGCTCATAATGTGGACATTTGTGACACCAATGTAAAATGCAACATTTGTATAAAAAACACCCTCTGCTGTTGCATCTTCACACTTCCCCTTCCTCTGTTGTAAACTATCTATCTATCTATCTATCTATCTATCTATCTATCTATCCATCCATCTATCTGTCTGTCTATCTATCCATCCATCTATCTATCTATCCATCTATCCATCCATCTATCTATCTATCCATCTATCCATCCATCTATCTATCTATCTATCTATCTATAATGTATATGTCTATCTATCTATCTATAATGTATCTGTCTGTCTGTCTATCTATCTATCTATCTATCTATCTCAAATTCCCAAGTCTAAAGAATACCCCATAAGCTAAATGCTTTTGCAGAGTTAAAGATTGGTATTCATTTCCCTATGACATAGGTAGATCGCCTGATGGGAAACAATGGTTTTAATCCAGGCATTAATGTTGTATCATTTGTAATCTTTGTGAAATCAAAGTACATGTGATTTTCTGGTACTTGCAACATGCAATGGAAGCCTAAGCTCTCGAGACTCTTGTCCTCTGTCTGTTTTCCCACCCACTGTAGTCATTTGGGAGCTGTTTGTAATTTTTTTGTTATTTTTCTAAAACAAAGGTATACATTTGATGTGTGTTGCCATGGTATAAAGAAGCATTAGTCATTGAAATAATTGCACATATTTAGTAGAGAAAAAAAAAATTCTCACAATAATAACTCATGGCTAGAGTTATCTCTTGGGCAGAAAAAAGCAAAACATTTAAACAAACAGATAAAGAACAAAAACAAAGTTCCACCATGAATTTAACTAGAGAAAGGAGTTTAAATATTCTCTAATGTAGACACACCAACATTACCTAGATTCACAACACAGGGAGCAATCATTATAAATCTAAGCAATATAGTACATAAAAAATAACATAGAATTATTCAGTGTATTTTTTGTTTCAGTAGGGATAACACAGGACTTTATGATTAATAATGAAAACAAATTTATTTTAAATCAGCATTAGCATTTTTTTAAACCCAGTAACCCAGAGAAGTGTTATCAAACACCCAACAGTATCTATTTTCTATTTTTTACACCATAGAAATAAAAAATAAATTAAAATAAATAAATGTCAAATAGTAGCAAGTTAAACCTTCCTTGTTCACAGTAAACTGATCGGTGTGAATGCATTGTTAACTGTTATAGAAATAATAACAAAAAAATATATATATATATTTTTCGTGTGTGTTTTGTATTGTTTGTTATGCATAATATTGCATTTTGAGTCTTAAATACACAGTCCCTAATTTTAGGCAATTTGTGAAGGTGTAATCTGTACAAACTACTTGCTCTCTCATAAACACAGCCTTGCTTAGTCTAATCTAATACTACCTAGACCTAAAGTGAGGTTATCACACCTTACTTACAAGAACATGAGAACACTGTATAGATAATTACACTAATTGCAAGGAGGGATGGTATTGGCTTTTGTGTGTGTATTTTTTTTCTGTTGCACTGTGTCTGTATCCAACATCCCTTGATAAATATTATAACTGAACAACATGTCCCTGCATGTTTTATTGTTTTGGAACGTACAATGCATAACAAAACCATTACATTAACAGATAAAATGAGAATCCCCAAGTTGCCCCTTCTTTGGCTTTGTGACTTTAACATTAGTTACAATACACGCACATGATAAATTGCAAGTTTGACAATCAGGAGTAGGGAAAAAAAAATATTGGCTAATAGGTTTTAAAAGAAAAAAACACCAACTTGAAAACAAAAATTAATAGTGCATTATTTGCACACACTCACACGCAATGTTTGTTTTCAAAAACAAAATGTGTGTGTTTGTGGGTTTAGATATGTCTGTGTTTGATTATATGTCATCAATGTACCTATCTTTCGATCTATCTATTGACCTGTTTATCTGTCTCGTGTGTGTGTATATATGTATATGTATGTAAGGTATATATGTATATACAATTTCAGACGTGATAGAAGGAGTAATTCAATCAAATTATTGAGAGGCAAAATCTAGTGCTGGATCCATTATGTCTGGTTTCATTAAAGACAGGCAAATTTACTCTAAAATAAGGAAGACTGCTGAATATATAATTGGGTGTAATCATGTTAGTGTTTGAATAAAAATGACATAGGGTGTTTAGCACTGACAACAACATGCTTAGAAAAAAAAACCTATTTATTCAAACAGTTTTTTTTATTCATAGTCATGTGGAGATGAAACACATTTTCAGTTTACGAATTTGAGGGGTTTCTTGTAAATGAAGAGAATTAAATAGAGTGAAATATTATTATTATTTTTTTAACCACTAAAAAACCTTTTTCAGAATTTCTTAGCCATAAAAGCCTGTTCTGAGTGCTAGCATTGCGCCACCTACAGGAACAGACGTGAATTGTCTAAATTTGCACCCCGTCTGATAGAGATTTCGATTTTGTGATATGTGTGTCCTATAAGGGATATATTCACTAAACAATAAGTTCTGATTTTGTTGAGCCCCAACTTGTAAATTCAAGGCCAAAACATCAGAATGAGAAAAATTCTCCAACCTGGCTGATTATTTTTTGTCCTACATTTCTCTTAAATTTTGCAAGCCTGGTTTCAAATCACCATCAGTCTCTAATACTTAAGGGTATAATTCCCACGGCAATAATCTGTGAATATCTGATGGAAGATTTAGAAGTAAAACGTGTTCCTATATGTGTCTATGTATCTGTTGTAAGGTTAAGAAATATGATAGCCCCCCTCCCCCATTGCAAAGATGCACAGATCATATAACCTAAAAAGTTAAAAAGTAGCAAAGTAAATTCGACCGAATTTATTTAAAATATGTTCTGAAATGCTATTGAATCCATCTAGGGACTAGCAATTTATTACTGCACCATGCTGTGTCAATAATCCCACTTGCTCTTTAGTTTAACAAAGTGAAACCCTTTATAAAAATAGTTTTTTATTTTTTTTGTTTTGATACCAGTAACTTAATTTCTTTCTTCTTTTTTTTTTTAAAAAGATATTTACTTCTGGTGGTTTCATAATCAGTCATATTTATCAAGCTACATGATACCAGGTTAGAAGTGTTTTTAAAAAAACCCAAAAAAACCCCCAATACGAATGGTAAGTCTACGGAGACAATAATAATAAAAAAAAAAATAGGCACTTTTGCATCTTCTTCTATAGCCCCTGAATGCTCACAGTGTTATAACTGCACTCCACGAGAAATCAAGGTAGCATTAAATAGTAAATAGTGTACCATGTTTACGATTCTGTTTTGTTCTCATATTTCCACCCGAATAGAAGCCGAAAGATTTAATCATACAATCACATCAGGGAATTCTAAATATTTAATTAAAAACAAACAAAAAACAAAACAAAAACAAAACACAAATAAGTACTTGTGTTTATAACATGCATAATCAAATAAAAAATACATCTTTCTTTTCGAGGAAACCACGCTAAATAATGCACAGTTTGCAGGCTTATCGACACATAACAAAGAGCAATAAAATAAAAAACAAACATTAACAAACATAAATAAATACATAAACAAATAAGCAAAGAAATATTGTCATAAAACGGTATTATTATTTTATTTTATTTAGAATCTTCGCCTTAATTCTACAGGGTTACAATAACAAGTAAGTAAGGCAGGTTGGTGGTCAGAACCCAGAATAGACTCGCCATTTAACCCTTCTCTTCCCAGACACATAGACCATTTAATTGTTGCATTAATGTCCCACAGCACAGAGGTGCAACAAGTGCACACAAGGTTTAAACCAATTAGTTGCTGAAATTTCCCTCCTTTCTTTAAATAGATGCTTAAAAAAAAAATCCAGAAGAATTTGTGATTTTTAAATTTTTTTTTATAATGGTCCCCCTAGTAATCTCTGTTTTTTTTGTTTTTTTCCCCCCTCTTTAGAAATAATGCCTATCATCCATTGGACATGATTTTTTTTTTTTTAGTCCCTTTTATTTAGAAATACAATACTTTATTCACACTTTATAACGCCTGTGAGGAGAAAGGGGAAATAATGAACACAGTCCTCCTGCTTTCTAAGATTTCTTTTGTGACAATCACATACACTGATCCCAAATGTTTCTAACAAGGTCTGGGAGTCCTCTTATGGTCTCATTGCTATTACCAAGCAGATGTTGCGTTTTCTCTACGTGTGTAGAGTGCTAATGGCTACTATTAGCAAAGGGAAGCCTTTCTGTACGTGTAAGAAGACTTCCAAAATGACCAAATTCATATACAATCTTCCTCACCCTCCATAGGATCATTTTACTGGAGCTCCTATGCATAGAATTCTAGATTCATTTTTTCGTTACTGTGTATCTTTAACTTGTTTTTAACTTTTGTCTTCACGTGTCTACAAAGTATCCAGTCATTTTCAGAACTCTAGCAGGTGACATATAATAATGCCTTTAATCAACGTTTTGGCCCACCCTGGCCCTTTTTCAGTCCTATGTGTGTGTTTCTGTGCCACTCAGGTGTGCTCCCAAGGGTATTTAAGGACAACTTTGCATTCCTTGTAGAAGTTGACATGTTTTGGGGTTGTAGACACAGTTTGTACATAATCCAAGCTTTCTGCCAAACTACAGACCTAATTGGGACTGCACAGAATAACTTTGGATTTTTTATTTTTTATTTTTTATTTTTAATGTAATTTTTCTGTGCTTTTGCAACTTGATGAAGATTTTTTTTTAAAAGACAACAGTAGCATAGAAGGACACTTGGGTCTTAACTTAGATTGCTTCTGTTGAGGAAATGAGAGAATGAGGAATTGAACAGCCCTTCAATGCATTGGCACTTTAAGAGAGTTAAAAGTTTTGGGAGCTACACCAGTGCCTCCTGGCACAATCATTTTTTGTGCCTTTTGCTTGGCAAGCTCAGTAGATGCAAGGCAGGATCTATCTCAATGTAACACACACAATAACATGACAGAAGGCACAAACTAATGCAATTACACAGCCAGACCACAACAGTGCTGAGGCATAAAATAACATTTAAAACGCAGTCACATACAATATTTAGCTAATTCTGTGTCTGTCTGATTAACTGATCCGTTACATGCTTAGTATAGATTCTGAGTTAGAACCTTGCACCGCATATCTGACCAGGTAATCGACTTTTGAATTGCTCGGGCACCACCCAGCGGAAAATGGAGGTAATGCAACATTGTTTTTTGTTGTTTTTTTTCTACTAGGTAGGTACAAGGATTCAGCAATGACATCTCTAATGTTCCCCTTGTAAAATTTCTGGGCTTCAGTTTCGATCGACAGATAAGAAAAAATATATATTTTAAAAAAAATCATTGATATCACGCATTATCCCAAATATAATTATCGCTCTATTCTTAATGATAAGCAAATATATATACAAAATGTTCTATATAACAGATTATGGCATTGCATGGTTTCTAGTTATTAATTTGCAAAGGCAGTATCAATAAATATATTAAGTTGTAGGTATGGTATACATTTAAATCTATGTTTATTAGAGCATTGGACCGATTCAAATTTTTTTTTGTTTATTTTGGGGGGAATGAAATATTGCAGTTTCAATGGATTTTCAATTTACATTCACATTCTATTTGGTTTTAATAAATAAGTAACCTTTATTTTATAAACAAACCAAGTCTTCGATAGATGATGGTAACATGCAGTAATAATAAAATGCCTATAGATGCACATTTATAAATAATATTATAGCAACCTAATTAATTAGTGACAAGACTGTTTGTGTGACTGTAAGTCTCTATTGCATATTGGAGGTGAAATATTTGGGATTTAGTTTCTCAATAACCTTTGGACTTGTGGATCTATTCAAACGCTAAAAACTATACCAAATGCTTATTCAGATGAGATGCTAAATTCATATTCTAATGAAAAAATCCTATATAGAGAGAGTTACATTTTTTTAAAAAATCTATTCATATGTTAAATACCCTCTAAACATTCAAGAGACAAGAATGAAACTCAGTCATTTGAACAGTGTTTTGAATTTATTGTTTAAAAACGAGGCTTTTACATTTAATTCACATTATTCTGTGTAAGGATTTATTTTGTACAAAAACTTGCAGATGTATACTGTTATGTGACAGCAATACGAGTGACTGTTCTACAGGCTGTAATACATGTGTACTCGGTCTCAGACTGAGAACGGCGTGAGACAGCAACCACAGTGAGTGTTTATAATAACATATATTAATAATCTCATTAAGTTACATCAACAGAGACTAATCCACACCCACCCAGCAAACATAAGGAATAAATAATAAAATCTCTCTAAAAAAAATAAAAAAAACAATTTTTTAAAAAATAAAAAAAATAAAAAAAAATAAAAAAAATAAAAAAAAATAAAAAATATATATAAATAAATAAAGTAGCAGTAAATAAGGAAACTATACATTGCTCTTGCTTGCCATGATATTAATTCTATATCTAAGAAGAAGAATATTATTTGTAATGCTCACACGGTTAAGGAATCATCTTGAATATTTAAAATTATTATTATTTTTTTCCATGCTACAGATTCGTTCATTAGTTCCAGCTGAATTAAAATGAAACAGCAATCGAGTCGAAAGTGACTGTGTTTACCACATATTTTGCTGTAAGTATTAATTAGATCAGATTAGTAATTAAAGGCAATAATGAATTATTCTGCAAAGTGTCTGGCACCATCGATTAAGATAAGAGTTAAACAATCATTTGAAATCTTCCTTTTTTTTTTTTTTTTAATTACAATGTAAAGATTATGCAATGCACCAAAAAATATTCAGATAAACCAGATTATAAAATACTCCATTAAATAACCCAGATTATAAAACACACGTGAAACTGTCAAACATTTCGTTTGTATTCCATAGTTTTGTACACACAATGTACATGTTGCAACAATGCACACTACATAAGTATATGTTACATATGTCACTGATACATAAAGCATATGAACCCAGAATACACTGTGTAATACAAACTGTAGTATTTGTTCATTATATCAATGTAAATAACATTAATCCACAAGACAGAAGTACATATTGCACATAATAATACTATTTATTGGTAGTTTATATATTACAAAGCATTTTGTGTGGATACATATTACTGTGCATTTAATGAGAGTCTATTTAATAAAGTGACAATTACATTGGTATATAAAATCACAAAAACTCCAACACTTTTGCATGTGATGGTGTTAATAATTCTATCTGACATTATTTATATCTGTACACATCAACCCAAATGTCATAAATGCACATTAAATGAAAGTTTGAACCATTCCCTCACCTAAAACCTTTCCCCAACACTATAAATGATAAAAAATACATAAAAAGTACCAATGATTAAATGGATGTTAAACCTTTGAAATTGTACCCCCACATCCCCCTGTTTTTCTTTCTGTACCCCCATCTCTCTCATTGAAAGCTTACATGCATATGCAAAGTGTATTGAAAAAAGTACCAACTATTTACAAAGTTCTATCTTTTTATCTTTACCATCTTGCTTTTACAGTCAACATTGCATTATTTTGCACACCATTAATGTATAATCCTTGCAAAAGTGCTCATTTTATTTGTGAACATATACACACAATCCAAGTACACACATTATACCAATAATCAAAAGTTGTAAGAACTTACTTGATTCATTCTAAGTGTACACCCTACACAGCACATCAGCTTATGACATATCAGTTTATGTTATATATTGTAAGCTATTATATAAATGTGAATACAGTCATATTTTTGTGTTCATATTTTATATTAGTAGAGTTTGCCTCAGTATACACTACATACGTGCACACTGCAATATAAATGGTTTAGTTAAAATGTATATTGCTATGTAAATATTTTCATGGTATATTCATATTACACAGTAAATTGTTATGTTGTACATTACATAAGTATGCATTATCAGTGTTGGCATACATTTCATTAGAGCATATTATATCTGTGTAAATTAGTACACAAGGCAGAAAAGTGTTACTACATATTTTATGCAAACACACAGTGTACATTTCATTTACAGAGGTAATACACACTGCATTAATGTATACTGTATCCTAGTACACTATAACCTAAAATATTGGAATATATATTATTAAACATACTAGGCGCTTTGTCACAGCATATTATATTAGTAGACATAGTGTCAGTACATCTCTTAACATGTCAGCACCAATCTTTCTGATAAAACCAATCCAGTCTTATCTGATCTGGAGTATAAATACATCAATATACACTGGAAGGTGAGTGAAAGTTGGATGAAGTAATTTTCTATTGGGACCTTAAATACACCATTTTTATCTAGATAAATATATAGATTTTCTCAATGAAATACACAGTATAAAAAATAAACTGATAAAACATTTCCTTAATGATGCACATTTTGCAAAATGTATTATTTTTTTTAAAAATTTTAATCAGAAGAATAATTATTACTGTGTGGGCTACCATTCAAAAATGTATGTCTGGAAATTGAATCCTGAGTTGTTTGTAAGACTGTTTGTTTTTTGTTATCGTTCATTAATACGAAAAACATTTCAAGGGTCGCCTGACTATATTGCTGTCTTTAAACAGCTGGATTTAAAAAATAAATAGGTATTCTCATGGTACATTGAAATCTGCCCCCTAGGTGTGCCAGCTTTTTATGGCTGGGAGTTAAATCACAAAAGAAAACAGTTTTTTTGGATAGCAACCCTTTCCATATGTGCAGCAAACGTGAGAGCATTTTATTATTCTTTAAATAAAAATAAATAAAAATATTTTCTGCCCCTTATGTGTTTATGTACATGGTTTCCACTTAAATGTAACCAGAGAAAACCCAGCACCTTATTTTATGTTACTCTGTCTATATACCAATGGGTAGGGGGCAGAGGCAATCCATCCTGTACTAGACAAGGAGTCAGTGCCTTACCCTTACCCTAGTGACTGTTTATGGATCCTCCATTTTCCTTAACACCACCCCTCCAACAAACAAACAGCAAACAAACAAAAAACAAAAACACAACGTGCAATTAAGGAATTCATAGCAGACCCTACAAACTGTTAACACTCCATCTGTTGCCTCCCCTCTATGTTTTACCATCCCCTCCAATCTTCGTGGCTTAAAATACAGGTTGACTTAAGTCGTATATACACACAGATCACATAAAAGCCTCATGCATACATTACGCGTTTTTCAAGCTCTTACACAGATACACATCTAACATAGGTTTCACACACATACACACCCCTTGCTCTGGCAAAGATTCCCATCCAACCATGCATACACTCCCAACTTATATCCGGTACATACTGCATAGAACAAATACTTATAATATTGGCTTGGAGATTCGTTTTGATGCAAATTGCAGTTTGTCCATATTTTGGCCGACTGGGTGATTGGTGGAATTCCCGAACAACATGACGAAATATAGCCGAATCACGGACGAAATGAAACATGCAATGGCCAAGGATGTTAGTATTGATTGGTGATTCTGAATTCTGCCTGAAGGTACCAAAAAGAAAAAAAAAAAAAGATGATTGATGGGAATAAAATATATAATATTAATATTTGTTTATATTTTTTTCACTTGATCTTTGAACCGAATGTTGGAAAAATGCTCCTATCTGTGGACTGCAAAATATACTGCAATAATATTATATTGTTTACAGATTTTTCAGTACATTGATTGGCCCATTTACTCTCCCTTTTGGCTCTTTGGATTTGTTTGCCAATCGGGTTTTTGGTACTGAAATTCTGCAGACCTGAATAGACATATGACCAAAATTTGGGTAGCTTAAAGAAAAAAAACTTCTATTTTCGGGATAAATGGTTTGGCTGAACCAAATTTTCTTGCTTTTCACATATCTATTATATCTATTATAACATGAGTCTCAAAAACACAACTTACATTTTATATGTATTACATAAGTTAGCTTGGAGTTTCCCATCATTGCCTCCAGTTGAAACATGCCAGTTGTGTATATCCTAAAAAAACAAAGTCTGATTATACATCATGCACTTTCCACACAAAGGAGCTAAACTCCTGATTGAATAGTAATAGAATGTCCTTCCACACAGGAGGGAAATTTTCTTACTGCACTAACAGGTCCTCTTCGAGGCACAGGATGTATGACCTTGCTGAGGCCATACATCTCCAAAAGGTGTGGACATCCTCTTTTAGTGCGGCAAGCACGGGTTCTGGCCCGTCATTTGGAGTACTGCAATGCTGCATCTTGCACAGTAATCCCCTTAAAACTAAGAGCTAGTCTTATTTGGATCGAGCAAGAACACAATGCCAAAAGTTGGGAGTGGGGCTGTGATTGACATTATAAAAGTACACATCTGGAGCTTTAGCCCATAAAACTAGTCCCTATCAACAAAACCGATTTTATGTAAGTTTAATATACCATTTTTTAGTCATACAAAAACAGATGTGAAATTGAATAGGACCATATAATAAAAGAAATGTGAGGCTTTATACGTGGAAGTAATAATCCCCGCCACACCTGTAGCATTATTCATTAGGTTTTACAAAATGGAGAGAAGGATGTGTGTATATAAATATATATCCTATTACCTCGCTAAAGCCAATATTGCATCCATAACTATTCTGAATCGCGTGTTTTCCAATTTCCTAAGTGTCTGGTTAATTGGTTAATCATCCGTCCATCCAATTCATTTACATTAGTATGGTATCCAAAAGGCCCAGTATTCGTTTGATTAGCATATTTCTAAAAAAACCCCAGCATAATAAAGACTAAGGATCTATCAAAGCGAGCCTGGAAAAAAAAGACTTAAAGAAACAGCAAAATGACATTATAAAAAATATCTCCTCCTTACTTTCACAAAAAAAAGTTAGGGAAACAACCAAGAGACCAGCAGCAAACATGAAGAATCTGGAGAGATCTGGAGATAAGAATCAGAGATAGGAGAACCATCAGGTGGACCAAGGTAAGATGACACTCCATCAAGCTGGTATTCCTAGCCATGTGGCATAAAGAAAATCAGTACTGGGAAACTCAATATAAAATCAATTTTGAAACTTCCCAAAAGGCATCGTAGAGTATGTTAAGTATGTTGTGATGTTGGCAAACTAACTATATTTCAGCGTTAGCTCAACCAACATACCCTACTAGATATTTAATTTCCTCTTTCCTCTCTTGCAAGGCTGTAGTTGTAATTTTCCAATAGTTAATTAGTTATTGACATTTTTAAGCTTTCAGTGCTACAATCAAATAATAAATTGGCAGTTAATCTCTTACAATTCTGTTGCATGGGAATTGTTTATTTAGCTTCTATATCTTCATCTTTTTATTTAGAAAACAATTCATGATCACCCACAAATGAATATCGATGTAAAAATCTGTGACATAGCTCATGTACTCCGACTGAGTACCTCTGCCAAAGTTTCCCTCTTACTGGAATCGCTCAAGTTACCCTTTCCCTAAACACTAGACGAGGCTTGAAGGGGTAAAATACATGCTTTTTTGTGACAAGTGTAGCATATTTGTAGGGACATTCCCTGTAGCAGAGCCCTAGTCCTGAAATGGACATTCCTCCACTGGATCACCAAGCATAAAATCAGGAACAAGAAAATGCCAAGTGAATAGCCCACCTCCTCCCCAGCAACTGGACGACACACAGTTCTGGGAGTACAACTTCCTTTATTTCTGCCACACACGGCTTTTATGCATTGCTCCTAGCATGGAGTTTTCAAGTCAAGAGTACAAGGTTTTCTTTCCCAAGAGCCTCTGTCTTTGAGAGATAATTGAGCTCCAATTAGGATGACTCAATTATATCTCAAATACAGAAACTTACAGATCTTTTTAATATACCCCCCAAAATATTAATAAATAGCCTCGATCTGAGCGCAGAACATATCCAAAAAGCGCTCAGATTGGTTTGGTATAAAGAAAGTTATCGTTGACCACAGTTTTGGCTTTCAAGGGGTTCTTGTGCAAACACAGACGAACGCTCACTCTGGCTGCTATGGAGCGAATGCTCCCCCTGTTCAGTAGATCCTATCTCCCAAACGCTGTTCGTCTAGTTGGTCAGGAAGTGGTATGGGCAGTGGTACCTTCTTTAAATATAAGTAAACTGAGTGGAAACCAATTACCAACAGTTTCCACTCAGTTTACTTATATTCACATATAGTATTACATGTGTTGTGAAGGAGATACTCACACTTTGTGGTAGCTGCTTACTTTCAATATACAATAATATAAAGCGCCTCTACACAGAACACTTTTTGGCTTTTGTTTAAAGCAATACTATCTTTGCCCGGGTTCACGGAGACGTGAAGCAGAAAACAGTTCAAGGTGCTCGCCTGCTTTCGGGAGACAAAATGGCCACCATTCACTGGACCACGTGTGTTCGGTTATACGAATGGCAGCCACCCAGGGAAAGCACTCAAGCGAAGGTGTCAAGTCGTTTTGTGGTTAACAGCCAGGGGAGGTCGGTGTTTACTGGAGCATAACAAGAACCACAATCCAGTCTTTCAGGAGACAAACAAGGGGGTACAGACAACCGAACATTAGGGAATGGAGTCTGCTACATTCCCTATAGGAGGTCTTCACAGTGAGCGATTGGTCCCCTCCCTGGCACCTCTGTGTCTGAGATATAATTCAATTAACTCAAAGATGATTTTATTAAGCTACAGATAACAGGGTGGTGATACAATATGACCCCCAAAACATAAATTTCTCCACATATAGAGGTTACAAGTCATACCATTCCTGGACAGCACTAGCTCTCAGTAGTAAAGTGTCCAAAAAAATGCTTGGATCAGAGGTATATGGCCCGAATAATCATCAATGAAAGTTTCAGAGGGATGCGGCTAACTGCTGATTTTGATGAAGAGTTCCATGCTGTTGTTGAACAAGTCATGGACATCATAAAGAGGTCGCTCCGACTGAGTGGAAGGGGGCTCCTCTAACTTTATATGGTTTTCATTAGCCCTGTACCTCCTTTGCCTTTCAATTAGTTCTCTTCTAGGTGTCCTGGTGTAGGCATGGTTGTTGTTAAACGTTGTAAAGGGCAGTCACCAGACCTTTGGCTGGGTGGAAGTCCCATGCGGTTTGCATGTATCTCCTGCTGGTGCAATTCTGGCTTTCCCGGTCAACTTGAACCCATCCCATTGGTGGTAAATGGGCTCTTTTTTCATTAGCTGCATGGTGAGAGGTGGTTTTTGTCATATAGCTCAGGAAGACCTATACAGTTGTTTATAGGCTTCTAGCTGTTGAGGGAGTTAATTCCTTATTTGTCCCAATTAGTTCTGTTGGTTACATAAAGAATATATATATATATATATATATATATATATATATATATGTATATATATATATGTATCTATTTGACAATAGCATGGAATAAGTTCATTGGACACTTTTAAAATAATGATTAAATTAAATATATAGATAAAGTTAAAATTGAAACAATCAATACACATGCGGTGATGTCTGTGGTTGATGATAATAGGTTCAAGGTACCGCGTGGCAATATTGTGCAGAATACAAGACATAGCAATAACGCAGACACCTAGAATCAAAAGCAATGTAGACAGTAAAGAAATTTGTCTAGGCAGACTATCATGATCTTTGAAACTCCAATGGATTTTTCTTTTAACAAACCAGGAAGGATTGCGAACATTATACTTATAAGCCAATATTTAAAATGAGACATATTGAAAATACTCCCTCATTAAATGTGCCCCACATAAGGCATATGTAAATTAAAGTGGAAATAAATCATTGCAAGAAATTCCAACTTTCCACTTGTTCATTTACTACACAGTTATCAATATTTTTAGACATATGCTAAATAAGAAATACGCAAGCAATGTGACTTGTTACTCTCTTTAGTACATTGGATACTCAACAGTACTGAATAAATATGGGATAATTGGACACTAGCTTTTCATTAAGAACTCCAAATAATTAGTATTGTATAGTATTTTTTAAAAACAATTCTCATTGCAATATATGAGCAACATTCCTTGACAAGCAATGTTCCTCCTTTGTCAGATTAAGTCAATTTGTCAAATTGTTTGTCTATATATATATGCAACACTCGTTCACAATCAATGCACATACGCCTCCTTTGACAGAAAAAAAACAACAATCTGTTAACCTGTTTATCTTAAAGGAACAATCCAGCTGTCAATACTACTTAAGCATTGTGTAGAAGTGTGATAAATTTTGATCTATCTCGATTTTGGTCTTATATTTGTGTTGTATTTTTCTTCCTGTTCAAATCTCTGTAGTTTTGCTTAAAAATAGAAAAATGTTTTGCTGCTTTCTGCAGCATAATCTGCCTCCGTAGCTAGAAATAATTAAAGGAAAACTATACTGTTAGGAATACAAACCTTTCGCCCCCCACTCGCTGTCCCCTGACAAATAAGTGGTTAATAACCCTTTTCCAGCACAGAAATCCCTTGGCGCTGGGTCACGCTCCTCCTCCGCCAACTTCAGCCAATGGGGAGGACCTAAATCACATGCGCGTTGCACTTCACGCTCATTAGGTCTTCCCCATAGGAATGCATTACCTCAGTGCTTTCCTAGGGGAATTTTCTAGAAGCTGTACGTACTCATGCAAATCGTGAGGGCATCCAATGTCGTTTCTCAGAGTCAAACTCTGTGAAAATGGAGGAAGTGCCTTTAGTGGCTGTCAGATAGACAGCCACTAGAGAGGCAGTCTTACCAATATAATGTAAACATTGCAGTTTCTCAAAAACTGCAATGTTTTACATTGCAGGGTTAAGGGAACAAGGGCACTGCACCCAGACCAGTTAAGTGAGACGATCACTTCAACGGGTGGTCTGGGTGCCTATAGTGTCCCTTTAAGCAAGTTGCTAGACAACACTCGAATGCTATGGTAGTCTCTACCAACAAGCGATCATACGCATGAAAATGAAACAAGGCCATAACTCATCAGATGCACTTGAGTTGTGTTGATAACTGGAGTGTGCCTATAATGTTCTTATCAGTTGCACTTATCCTTACGATAGTTTGTTAATGGAGACTACCGTAGCATTCAAGTGCTTGTCTAACAACGTACTTAATTCTTCTAGTGTATTTTTAAAACTATAGAATCCATACAGAATATAATACCAGAAGAAGCTTCAGAATTTCAATGAAATTTGACCACATTCAGTTTCTTCTTCTTCCTGTTACTTCTTCGTATTTGTACAGATAGTACTCATAACAGACTCATTATATCGATTCCCTGACTACC